TCCATAAAAGTCAGAAGGGAGACAAAGAGCCCATTTCTCCCCTCTGTGGTTTACTGTCTTTAATCTCTCTTTGCCTTAGTGTCCCCACCTACCCCGCGGGACAGAGTCACGTTTAGACGTGCTGAAAGGCTTAACTAGCGCTTGCAAAAATGATTCCAGATCCCCAGCTACCGAGTGCCAGAGAGGTGCAGTGTTACTGCTGGTCCCTGGGGAGGACGATCTGCTCCTCAGCGCTGGAGCTGCCGGCAGACAGGCTCTCTGCTCCCAGGCAGCTAACAGGAGTGTGCTAGGCAGAGGGAGCAACACCAGAAACCCCCCTTACAAACAGTCTCCTCTTCAGATTAATTTAATATTAGACTGTATTCACTCCAGAGAATTTTGTAAAACAACTCCCAGTCCCACTGTAGCCTCCCTGAGCACCGCAGGGCTGGGAACCTGCAGCAGAGCTGGTCTCTGCCCGTGGTGAGACGTGGCCCTGCCAGCACTTCTGCCGTTTCCACCACCATTTTAGCATTGCAATGGGAAGGGAGGGTTAGAACACAACGGTACAACTGAGTGACCACCAAGGGCAGCACTTTGGGACTAAAATTTCCTCGACTACCTGGTTTTGAAGCTGGGACTCACTTCGTTCAGACTCCACAACAGAGCTCCACGCTGCCCTGTGGGAGACAGAAGGGAGCACAGCTCCAGCTCCATAACCAAGTCTCCTCCTTTAATAGAAGGACAAGATCTCTTTGCGAGGCGCACCATGAGCTGCCCTCCCCACCCTCTCCACTGTCTGCTGACATTTGTATTTCAAACTAATTGCCACTATATCATCTGATCCTGCCCAGCTGTCTAAAAAAAACAACCCCCTGCGTGCCACTGGGACCTCTTTGTCAGAGGCTGTGAACTCATCTCCATCCAGCACCAGGATGGATTGAACAAACTGAAGTAGTATTTTATTGCTGAAGCATAAAACATGGGAATAAACAAGCACCAAAGTGCTACTGATCATTAAAACCAGATGGGAGCCCATTTACTGCCTCCAACAGCGAGGTGCCACCCCTGCTCTGCTGAGGCCCCACTGAAACAGGAAACCCAACACACGTATCTGGGAGGTGCTACGGGCTGTCCCTGCAATTCAGGCCTGGATTATCTCTGCTGTCCTCTCACCACCACCCTGGGGATGAGCAAAGAGTGACCAAGCTTTTAGTCCCAGCTCCAGAAGTACAGTTACTCCTGTAAGGTTGTGCCCCTGTGAAATTAGGGGACAAGCAGCATCTCCAGGGCCAATCCCACCGTCCAGGGGAGGTGGGATGGGGAGAACCACAGGCCAAACTGTCCACACACAGAGCAGGGACTCGGTAGCGTTTCAACAGTATTTGTTCAAATGTACATCAGAAAACCATCACAGGTTCTGGTTACCCCTGTGCAGTTCAGCTCCTGGAAGGCAGATTCCCCAAAGCAGCCCAGCTCTGATCTGTTTCTTTACTGACCAGTGCTGTCTGGCACAGGGAGCTAAGCACCACGGTGGGAAGAGGCCAGGAGCTATTTCCTCTCTTTCCTAATCAGCACAGCCAGAACATCCCCAAAGTCTGGAGTACTGGGAACTGGCCCTCAGAGACAGCTTGGCCCTGCATACCCAGAGCCAAAAGCTGGGCTCACCCCTTGCTGAGACCCAAGCTTTGCACCTTTGCCTTCAAGTCCCATCTCCCCGTAGCAGGGAGCCCCCGCAGCAGCCCCAAGCCCCAGCACCGGGTTTGGGGCTGGGGGAGGTTCCCCAGGCTGCCCCTGCAAGCCCTAGAGGAGATGCAAATGGAGCTGGAGACTGCTGGAGAAGCAGAGACAGACAGATGCTTTTACACTTCAAAGGAAACGGGGCCCTGTGAGGCTTTCAGGAACACGCACAAATCGATAGACTCCTTTTAAACACCAAGCACATTTGCTCAAGTGTGAGGCAATTAGTCCCTGAGGATGGAGGCAGGACAGGGCCATTAACAGACATACGGGCAGGATGAAACGAGGGATGAGGAACATGTGGCACGGCTCCACGCGAGGCTGCCGGGCCAGCCCCAGGAGTTGGAAACCGTGCTGCTGCCCTGGCCTCGTGTTCTCAGCCCTGATTTTCAAAATGCCGTTGTGTCCCCAGGGGTTCTACAGGGAGCACATTAGTGTCATTCAGCCCATGTCAGTGCCATGCTCAGCATAGCCCTTCGGTAAACAGGGCGGTTTAGATCACATCCCCTCCACTGCTCAATTGTTCATCGCTTTTATCCCTGGAGAACAACCAGGGATGCCTGGAAGGACGTGGGAGGGCTGACTAACACTTACTGGACCTGCAGCAATTCTCAGTTCCCCCTCACCTGAATGCTGCTGGGTGGTGCCTGAGCTGCTCTGGACAGCTCTGTCTCTGCAGAGCCCCTTCTAGATGAGAGCCAAAACCAGATCGTGGGCGAGCAGAGGGCTGGCTGCTCAGCGTGAACAGAGCCAGCACGGGGACAGACCCCATGGTGTGACAGAAATCAAGCCTGACTCATCCCCTTCTACTCTGCACCAGCTTTTTCACTCACATCTACCCTTAATGCACCATCTCCCAGGGAGGATGTTACACAGATCTCCCAGGTGCCAGTGCTTCGTGACCCCGCAGATGGGAGCTGGAGTGACAGTGCCAGCACACAGGAGGTCTCTCCTGTGAACAGCTGCTGTGTTTTACACGTACAGTCTTATTTTTACAATGAGAGGGCAGAGATACCAAAGCCAAGCAATGTTTTATGCGTGGCTGCGTGACTGACGGTGTGCCTGTCCCGTATCGCCAGCTCCCACTCCCTTTATGGAGGCACAAAATATTCCCTGTTCAGTAACAACAGGAGAGGAAGGAATAAAAATCTCAGCGTGTCCCCAAAGAACTATAGGAGATGGAAATGAAATCCATCCATTAGACTCACCAAGCATGGTGCTGTCTGGGCAGGAACACTGCAGTCGTACACCTGCACATTCAAAGAAAAAAAAAAGAGTATTAGAGAAGTGTCAGAGGCAATCCAGCACCCTACAGCAAACTACTTCGTGCCATAAACCAAGCTCACACGACTTGGAAAAACAAAAAAGGAATAACACTAAATCAAGCCAAGCAGCTCCACTGCCCCTCATGGCTCAGTGCCTCTCCCCACCCCTGCACTGAAGAATTGCTTCACCCTGGGTTAAATTTTTGTCTGACGCTGCTGCTCAGGCCCAGGACTCAAGAACACCTCACCATTTGTCCTGGGCAGCGCACGCTGCAGGGAGGAGGAGAAATGCTTTCCCCACTTGCTTCACTTTTATCCTGTGAGCCTGCAAGCAGCTGTGTTACCTCTGCCTTGGGCTTCTTCTGCTCAGGTTGGCTGTAAATGTCTAGAAGCCACATTTAAACCTTACTACAGCTCTGCAAAGCACGACAGCAAAACCATCTTACCTGGAGCTGCTGGGAGCACGTCTGCTTCTCGCAGCCGGGGGAACCGAGTCGAGCCCTGGAGGAACAGGCAGAACCAGGCACCCCATACAGCCACAAAAGGACAGCAGCAAAGTTGTGGCTCCGAGCAGCCAGCCTCTGGGTGGGCTTTGGGGCCGGGGTCACTCAGGGCAGAGGGGGTAAGTGGGACAGACGACCCCCTCCCCACACTTTGGGGGAAACCTTTTGTCCTCCCTTCTCCAGCCAGCCCCCGACAGTTTTACTCCCTTCTCTCTTTGCTCTTGGCCATTCCCAAAGTGAATTCAGGTGGAGGGCGGGGGAGCAGGTAAGTGCAGACACCTGCAGGCTGCACATTTGGCCGCTGACGAGCGGGAGAGGGGCTGGCAGCTGCCCACAGCTCCCGGGCAGGAAGGGTCTGGCTTTGTGCCGGTGCGGCCCCGCACGGCGGGTGACGGCTGCTGGTGGTTGTTGTCAGCCAAATGCTGCCTCCCCCCTGCTAAGAGGCTCCGTATGGGACCCCAACCTGGGCCTCGCCAATTAAGTGGCTTTTAAGCTCTGCAATAAAAAACCATTTGACTTGAAGAATGTTATTATTCCTGGGAGGGGGTTTGCGCCGCTTGCTGGGAGTTGCTTAAGGTGACCCAGTACATACACTGGCCAAGGAAATGCACAGCAGGAGTCTCCTGGGAGGCTCACCAAGGACCAAACAACAGACACCCCCATGCTGGGCAGTCATGTCAACCCAGAAGGAAGCAATGAGTCCAGCTTAGCCCAGCTGTCCAGCTAAAAGACAATTCAAGTGCCCCAGCCCACCTGAGCATGGAAACGCTGCTCTCCAGGATGCCCCTGCACCTCTCCACAGGCAAGAAGCTTCCCTAGGTCCCCGCTGAGCACCCATGGGGACAGGCAGACCCTGCCCCACACTATGCACATGAGGAGGTTGGCTCAGCCCAACCAAGGATGCCGATCTGATGGCACCAGACAGTGAGTTTGGTTTTCACCAGCTGAGCACATCTCTCTCCCTCCACCACTGAGAAATCAGGTAATGTCTTACTGAAACCAGATGGCGGCTTCTTTTGCAGAGCCAGAGGGTGACCGAGTGGGTACAAGCAGAGAGGCCACATCCTGGGTCAGGCAAGAAGGGACCCTGCACCTCTAGGAGGACTCGCCATATCTTTTGCAAACCATGGGGAAAGGTGGGCACTTTGCTGCGCTGCCGGGAAGCAGCACCACAGGAGCTCTGCGGCTGCTCACTGGGATGCGGCTGTCTGTGGAAGGAGAATTGCAGCGTTGGCAAGAAAGCATTTTTCTGCCATTCCCATCTGTATTGAAGCAGTGTCAGACAAGGCTTACGGCTGCAAAAACCAATAGGAGAAACCAAAATAAATCAGGATCTTTATTTCCCATAGGAAATTTACCTAAATCCCATTTATAGTCCATTTGCCCTCATCCTTATGTAACTCCTCTGCAGAAGAGGAGCAGAAAACGCAGAGAAAATAAACAATTTGCTGCAAAGAATTAGTGCGAGAGATTGAGTCACATCTAGCAGTGCAAGCAGAGAACCTGGGGCTCACTGAATACACTGCGGAGAACAATGAACGCTGAGATCAACAGCGTGTGTCATGCATGTACAAACTGGCCCCAGGTAACATGACTAAAGTGGAGCCACTGGTGTGCTCGAGAGAGATGCACAAAAAACACACTTTAGAGTTTATTTTATTGCTCTTAATGGCCTGCCTTCCACATGTCTCATTTCCTTTTATTGAAGCTGTCAGAGAGGCATTACATTATCTCACATGCGTGCAAAAACAGCGTTTCAGTCGAGCTCACACAGACTTTTAAATGCCACAGCTGAAGAAAACAAGACAGTGGGAACTGCAAAGGGAGGAGGCGGCAGCAGAGTCCAAAGCACACACCTACGGGCAAAATTTCCAAAGGCTTCACAAACCAGCCAAGCCGCAGTCTCTAACCAGAGACAGGCGAGCGAGGAAAGGAAAGGTACTTTTCTAATAAACTGGATGAATCACCGAAGAAGGGCAAGGAGTCCTGTTGCAACAGAAGGCTGATGAGTAATTAATGGCTCGTCCTAGGCAGAAGGCTGAGTCTTACCCCAGTGCAGAGCTGTCTGCCAAACCAGCTCTACCGACAGGCCCATGGGGCAGCAGCACCTGCAAAGCTGTTCTGGTTTGGAAAAAAAAGGACATTACACCCAGATTTGCACAGGAGTTTCCCTCCGCTGCCCAGCTCTCCTCAGTTCCTCATACTCACCACAGCACGTTTTTCATCCTCATTAGCACCCTGTGACAGAGGGAAATACAACAACCTTCAAAGCTAAAGAAACAGATATAACCAAGTGGCCTGTGGGGGGGATGCATTACTTTCTATTTCCTTGTTAGCACGGCACTGGCAGTGATCACGGCGGGTACCAGCATGTCAGTCTTGCAGAAAGTACCTCTCCCAGAGTCCCTGCACGTGGGGCTTAAGGCTCCAAACTCCCTAGCCAGCCTTCTCACCCCACTTCCAAGATGTGGAAAACAGTGGTGGCAAAATCAGCTACTAATGGTCAGAGACAGAATATTTTTCTCATCCACAGAGGACAGCCTTTTACAGCTGACCTGCCTTCACGCAGCTGGAATCTGGACAGTAGAAAATCACAATATTCTGGGGTTAAAAACAATCTCCTCTATATTATTTTCCCTAACTAGATGTCTTTTTACTGAGTCACTTGCATTCACATGTGTCGTGCACAGCAGGTATAAATAACTACTGGCCAGGGTATATGCTAATGGGAGGCTAATGGGGTATTATGTACATCCACTGTGGTGAAGTCTGACCTTTATTTAAGCGCTGCACGTCTCACACCCATCCTATGAAGCTGAGGGGAAGTACTTGGCTGCTCTCTACATATCATAATTATGGTACAAAAGCAGTTAGCAATATACTATTTAAATAAGGAAGTAGTCATTGTAGTGGAGTTTCATAAATTTGCAGGGCTACTTTTCAAAGTCATTTTAACAATAATAAAGATGGCTTGACACCTCTACACTATGCACACGTGGGGTGCCAACCTGGTGCCCAAACAGACCAGTGCACAGCTGCTCCCGGTGTTCCTGCACACCAGGCCTGATGCACCGGTGGTCACAAACCCGCCCAGCTCTGCTCACAGCTCACAGACAACATCTTGCTACACATACACACGTGTGCACACACACAGAGAAAACCATCTGGCATACGTGCTAAATGACACACCTCATTGCCTACTGATGGCTACGGGCCACAAAGCAGTTTAAACACAGTGTTACAAGAAAACATTTCCTAAATAACACCTAGGAACACATCTATCCTCCCTGAGAAGCAAAGCAAAGGTCTCAAACAAGACCCCGTTGCCAGGGCCATTCTGTCCCTTGGACAAACAGGGATGCTTCCCCCTTCTAACGTGAAGATAAAGATAAATCATCTTTGCAAGGCAGCGTGCAGCCTGGCCAAACAGCTCCTCCCACGATGGGACCACAGAGGTAAGGGAGGTGACACTGCTCAGATAACTAAACATGGCAGCAGATCCCTACGGACTTCCAAACAGCAGCAAGATGACTTCACCAAACACCCTGGGAGGTGCTGAGCTCACCAGCAATGCAGCAGGTAACTCCGTGCCTACAGGGTATTCATTAAAGTATATGCCTGATGAGCAATGCCAGGCTGGTGGGAACTGTTTATTGACAAAGCTTGCTCAGAGTGTAGCAGGGTTACCACAGCTATAAATTACATTCTTCAGGGCTGGCAGGGGGTGGAAGAAGGAAGAAGTTCACACTGAAAGAGTTCCTCGAAGTAACACGGCCAGCACTGCTGTTTGTGGCCCTGTTTCTGACAACCACAGCCCTTTGGAAACCCCCAGAGCAGCCCCCGCATTCTGAGAACAACCTCCCTCCACCAGCCGCAGAAAGAAAAGCGTTTCACTAACCTCCAATCTAGGGGTGACAGAAGAGGGATGGGGACGGGGGACACGCAGACACAACACTCAGCCTTGATGCTGCTTTTCCTGCACGGGACAGACTCTTCCCCCTCCAGACACACAGGCGTTGCTGTGTGTTTTACTCTTGTATGCTGCTGGAAGAAAGGCAAGACTCTAGCTTTAGTTTGACTACACTAAGTGATGAAACTGCTCAAGGCGGTACCGGGATAGCTTGTTTTAGTCATCTTTGCAATAATTCTCTACAGCTTCTTGGCCACCTGGATGCCTTACTGAAACTCCTCAGCCCCCATCTCCTTGCAAATGAGTCCTGGGACAAAAGGATTTTGGAAACCCCCAGTTGAGAGATGCAAACAGGCTGGGACTGAGAGTTTGGCAGCTCTTTAAATACTGCTCTCGCAGCTCCTGTGCTTTCCTACTCCTGCTGGGAAAAAAAAAACACACTGCAGAACACATTGATTCATCCAGACCCACACTGACATGGCCGGGGCAGTTACCAGTTTGGCCATTGCTTGTGAAATGCACTGAGGGTTGTTGTGCAAGGAGACAAGGAAGCGAAAGTGTCCCATGCTACCACGTGCAGTAATGCCTCTTTGCCTAGTGTAGACAAGATCAACGCTCCAGAGCAAATATTATCTCATTTACAATTTTCTTTCAGTCTTTTCATTGGGAAGGGTCTTCCCCATTCACCAGCAGGCGTATGGGAACAGAGGGTACTGGCTCCACTCTGCCATGGTCCCGTGAGCATGTCCTGGAGCTCCCTGTGTATTGTACTCTGTGGAGAAGGCCGAGTAGCTCATCGCCCTGTACTGGCTGTGGGAAGGCACCATCCACTGGCCGAGGCCTTGCTCGGTGCCATAGGGACTGTACATGGGTGCTCGGGCCCCGGGTTTCCCGACAGAGTCTAGAGCCATGTTCACCACTCCTGTGTAGTCCTGGGGAGGAGGCAGAGGCGGGGGGAGTGGAGGCAGGTTGGTGAAGCCCTCTGGGAGCTGTTTGGAGTCGTGCTCGGGCACTGTGGCAAGATCCAAGGGGTGGCACCTTGCCCGGAAATCATTCAAGGCCACGGCGTCACGGGTGGGAAGCTGCTGGCTGTCCCCGGCTTCGTGGAACCTGAGCCCCGAGGGCAGAGAGAAGAGCGAGTCAAACCTACCGCAGCAGAAAACCACTGAAAACCCACACAGATCCCCCGGGGAAAGGCAGGGCAAGCTCTTAGCATGCCCTCTTCCCCTTACCTACTGCTTCATCTTACTGTTCGTGTGCTTTTTAGTCCAACTTGTCACGCAGAAAAACTAAATGCCCAAGAAAGTAAGCCCAGACAACTCTAGTTCTGGCTGAGTCCTACTCCAGGCTCACTATAACTCATGCCTGAATTTGCAACAATAAGGAGGAAGGGGAAAAAATATAAAAATCACTGGAGTCCTGCCACTCCTCCAACATGCTTCCTTCAAAGGACAGGCAAGCTCTGCGGTACACAGAGCTGGCTGGGGGAGCATTTCAGGATAAGGAAATAAAGAGGAGTCCTAAGACATGAGTATGTCCAGAATCAGTGGGTTTGAAGTCACACGGAAAGGCTTTGTTGTGGAGCTCTCTCCATGCTAATCTACCACCTGGAACTCAGGTATGCTGTCCAACAGAAAGGCATCCTTCCTCACTCCCACTGGCTGATTTTCTTAGGAAATATCCAGTAGAAGAGGAGGAATCCCACCAATCCTCCCAAGAGCACTGGGAAGTGGGACTCACCGATATGTCTGGTAGGATGGTGTAGGCACTTGCTGCTCTCTGGCCAGACCCTCCCTCTGGTCAGCTGGCACAGGCGACGCTGCAGGAAAGGCATGGCTGCCGTTCTGCTCCGAGACCCAGAAGGGGTACCCGCTGCTGACCACGATGGGGTTACTCTCTTCCTTCACATCTGCATTCTCATCCTTCTCAAAATCTGACTCACAGTGGGGAAAAGAAAGAAAGAGAAGAAAATGAGAAGGGGGAAGAGAGAGTCAGAGTTCACAACGGTCTATTGGCAGCTGCATTATTCACAGGGTGGTGGAAGGAAACACACTGACACCTCCTCCGCAGTCATATTGCCTTAAGGGACTCGCCCTTTGTGGCTTTTTTCTGCCCTTACACTGTGGTGTTTGGTCCTGCCCCATCCCCTCTCCTTAGGTGTGCTACCACAAGCAACACTGTGTACTGGAGCAAGGAATTAACAAGCTTAAAATCAATCAAACAGAAAGAGTAAATTTTTTTTTTTTTTTTTTCAAATGGTATCAGTTCCCCCATCCCCACCACGACCCAGCTGCACAAACAGCATTGCTGGCACAACTGTGCCATCCAGAACCAAGAAGAAAGCAACGGGTGATACTACAACCTCGTATCGCTACTGAAGAGAAGTGTTATGAAAGCACAGCCTGGGATCATACATGGTTACAAAGCATGGCCAGGCTGGGAGGCTGGCAAGAGAGCTGATGAGCAGTCAGTAATGACAAGTGACTTGAGAGCTGTTTTTTTTTTTTTTTTTTCAAATGGTATCAGTTCCCCCATCCCCACCACGACCCAGCTGCACAAACAGCATTGCTGGCACAACTGTGCCATCCAGAACCAAGAAGAAAGCAACGGGTGATACTACAACCTCGTATCGCTACTGAAGAGAAGTGTTATGAAAGCACAGCCTGGGATCATACATGGTTACAAAGCATGGCCAGGCTGGGAGGCTGATGAGCAGTCAGTAATGACAAGTGACTTGAGAGCTGGCTCCTGTGGATCATCGCTAGAGTCAGAGACTCCAAGCCATGCACAGCTCTCTTTAGGGACTCCACCCAGGCCCCTCTCCCCAGACAGGGGGCTACGTTGCTGCTTCTTTTCCTTTCCATGGCCTGGGCACTGCTTGGAACCAACTCTCTGGGTTTGTTGTGATCAATATTACCACGTTCTTCAGCACCGGACTCCTTTTCCTCAGGCAGTTTCCTCTTCTGGCCCTTGGCTGGACTAGGCTTCTGGCACTTGGCTCGTCCTTCCCTGGAAAGAAACAAGACATGGGGGTAGCTTTTATGTAAACTTTTTGCCGAGATAAACACGCAAGGGATGTTGGGCAAATCCTGGAAGACAAAAAGATGGGATGAACCTCTCTGACATTCTGTGACTGACACCTCTCCTAGCAAAGCACCCTGATGGGCCCCCGGGGATTATGTTTGCCACAGCAGAATTGCAGGGTTAGCCATGCTGCCTGGCACCAGGGTGTGCTTCCAGTGAGAGCCCTCACCCCGCAGGACACTGGGGATAAATCAGTAAAGGGGATAAATCAGTAAAGGGGATAAATCAGTAAAGGGGATAAACCTGCTTCAGGCCAGTACAAAAGACACAATCAACATGGAAACTGAGCACCACAGGCTTTGGCTCTGAGTCTGTTAGTGTAGCCTGATGTTGGATATGCATAACATACACACAGGTAGGTGTATAGCAGGGTGGTTCTTTCGCTTGAAAGCAGCTTTTTCCTAAATGGAAAATGAGTCTAAGCTTAGTCAGAAATTATCCTATTAGGAGAAGAAAAAAAATCCCTGACATTTTCAAAGTTTAAGTAAGAAAGAGTCAGTTTTGGCCTTTTTCATCAGGAAATGAGATATTTTTTTTCAGGCATAAAATAACACAAACCAAAATCTCAGATATTTTCATAACATTTTCTGCTTGGAAAAAAACATTTTTTCCCCTCTCTATTGCCAATTTATGGTTGCATGTAAGCTTTTTTTTTCTTTTTAAATCTCATCCACTAGCTGCCCTCAGACCAGACAGAAGATCTCGCTGGTGTTGGTATTCATCTTCCCTCTTGCAGATAAAATCTCCTGTCGGAAGAGATGCTTTTCCACACAGGGGGAAAGGAGACGAGGGAGCCTCCAAGTATCAGAATCAAGCTGATCTCAAAGAGACACAGCGATCTACTGTGGTTGCCTGTTATCACTCCTATTTACATGTCAGACTCCAGCCTAGCTCCAACTTGCAAGGGAATGCAGGTCTCAAATTTGTCACACCTCCCACGTTTCTGTAGGAAATCCTGTATCCCTTCCCACTCCCCAAGTCTCTCGGGAGGAAGCTGCACAGGGAACATCCCTCTGAGATACAGGCAAATGCAGCGTGCACAACGCAGCAGGCTCTGCAGAGCTGGCTGGTGCAGTTTTGCTCAATGGCCCGGGGTAAAATTCACAAGTGAACTCCAGTTATAAATAAATTAAGATGAAAAAACAGTTTACCTTCGAGTGTTCTTCCCGTGCTCGCGGAAACCTTTAGCAAACGGATTGTTGTCGATCTTGAGCTTTGTAATCTTAAAATAAAAGGTGCAAATTCAGTGTCATGGTGACTGGTTGAGCTCTTTCCTGTTTCAAGACCTTCATCTCAGTATTTATCACAACAGCTTATCTGAGGGTTTGGGGCATGCCCTTGCCACAGTATCTGAGCTCTCAGCAGCTCCCATTATTGATTAGGAACTGACATACAGAGAGAAGTGACTTTGCCAGAGTCAGCAGGAATTTGGGTGGGATTCATCTGACTAGAGAAGTAGACAAGGTCTGTACCTACTATCTGGCATTTGCCCATACCTTTTACTGCATTTAGGATTCCATTAGTCACTGACAGTGTACTTAATACAATTAAGGTGCATGATTCCTTTCATCTCACAGTAGGTGTTTTCCATAGAAACTATAATGTGCCTATTTCTTTCCACTGTCCATCAGAGGCACCCAGGATGACCAGCTTGGAAGGAGACACCTTCCTCTGCAAGACTTCTAAGAGTATTTAGCAATATGTCCAAGAGCAGCACCTGCCCACTATACCTGCTCATTCTGGTAGGCAGTAACAGAAGTGAAGACAGTCTCAGGGAAGCTGAAGACTTGGAAGATGCTCCAACGGACACTGAAGAGGTCATCTGCCTGCACAATGTGGAAGCGAGGCTTGTAACGGTGCATGGAGTGGAGGATGATCTGGCACAGAGACAGACAAAGGAGAAAGTTTTCCATGTGCAACCACTGCCAAGACGCTCTGCAAAGTCTACTGTGGAGACTCCCAGGACATCCATTTCAAACTAGAGGTGCCTGGCTGGGACTGGTGTCCCCACCACGTCTCTATGGTGGCAGCACAGACTAAAGCCTTCCCTTGCAGGTAGTTAAAAGAGCACAAGGGCTGTGCTGAGGAAGGAAGAGAGGGCACTTGCATGGGCTTTAATTTCCACATGATCTAATTTCTCATAAATCTCACTTATTTCCCTTAACATCCATCTGCAATGGATTCCGAGAGAGCACAACACAAAGGCCAGCTACAACCTACATGCCCGTGTTGGTCCAGAGTGTTGTTGGTGAGCTTCAGTTTTTGGAAGGAGACAGGTTCCTTCATCCAGTGGCTGCCAGGAGCTGGGGAATCTGGGTGGACGTAGGTGCGACAAGGGAGCTGGGGCTCTGCTTTTCCAGCAACTTCCCACTGATCTTTGTTCCACTGTGAAGGGAAAGACAAGAAATCTAGAGTTTAAAAAACAAATTACTTTCATTATAGGAAAACTCCAGCAACTTCGCTTCACTGTTTATTAGTGGATGACTCTTAAGCACAGTCTTGACAAGAAGCAGATTCTCTCTTATAAACCATGATCATGTTACCAAAATAGCTCCAAGTTTAGGCCTCATTTTTCCTCCCTTTCTCCCAATGGCTGTCAGAGAAGTCTGACGTTAATCATGATTAAAACTGTACTGCTTACAATGAAAATTAGTTACCTTTCCAGCTGCTCCCCGAGCAAAACTGACAAATAACTCCAGAGAGGCATAAAATCCACCAATTACTTCTGAACTTTGTCCAAAGACAATTTATTTATCAGCCCGGCCAGTGAAGCATAAAGATTAATCTATTTCAAATGAAGATGGAAGGACAGCATAACTTCTATTATTTAAAGTACTTACCTTGTACCTGAAGTTGTCCATTGGCACAAAATCTACCAGCATGAGGTACTTGGCATACGGGATTAAGCCAGAGACTTTGATTTTGCATTGTGGAAACATTCGTCTGAAGGAGAAATGAAATATACAGTATAAGGGTTTCTCTATAAAGCGGCTACTGTCTGATCATCAAGCAGCAGGTAATGTTTACTCACTAGTGTGCAATGTTCTGGTAGCAGTATTTCTACAGACCAGCTATTGCACATTTTTACCATTTTCCTGATGTATTGTCTAATCCTACGGGTTTATGTGGAATAGGCACTAACAGGGCAGCAGTCACTGATGGCCTGACATTGTTACTGCTTTTGTTCTTCTGATTTCTGTAACACAACAGTGAGAAACTTAAAAGAAAATATTTGGAATTTGCACGTAGTTCCTAGCCTTCTGCAGCTATCACAGACCTGGAGGATAGATCAGAGCATCTTCTAGCGTGGGTAGAAAACGTGCTCTCATCTAAGAGCACATCTAGCTTTCCGTTCCAGTACTCCCTGCCACCACTTTCATCTTCTGACTCTGCAAAAAAGCTTTGACACCTACCTCCCTACCCAAAGGGATTATTTCAGCTCACAGCAGCTTTGACATAATACATTACAATTTCATATTCTTTCACTGCAAGCTCCACAATGCATGACTCATTTAAACCTCAGAGTAGTCTGCACGCACAGATCATTACTATTCTACGCCATGTTCCCCTCTGCAAATGCAGACTCAAAACCAGGTATTTACTGCCCAACTGCTGCTGCCTGTGACCGAGGCAAAGGAAGCCCAGGGCACTTTCCAGAGCAACCTCGAAGCAACAGGAAGAACATCAGTGTTAAGTGCTGAGATAAGGGTACAGAAGATTTCTCAGCACATCAGCCCCACAGTGACCTTTTGCACTTCACAGTTTGGACTTCTATGACATCCTGAAAGTGCAATTCTTCTGCCAGAGGCAGGGAAATGTGCATAATTGGCTAAAAAACTGGTTTAATGGCCTCTATTCAAAAAATGAGCTCTCAGAGATTTTGTTAACAGCTTGGAGAGGTGTGGAGTGGGCAGCTGTCCTGCTCCCCTCACCTGCCAGATTTGGTGATGATCATCTCAGTTCCTATCTGATGAAACTTCATCCAGAGACCCATGTCCTCCAGGGTGACCACAATGGAGCTCTGCGGGTAGGGCTCCAGGCTGGGGGAAGGAAGGGCCTCACACGGCGCTTTCACGTCTACCAGGAGAGAGAGAGAAGAGTAACTTCAGAGAGGCAGGAGGGGACCCAGCGTGAAGCTGCCTCTCCTGCTCCGAGACAGGGCCCTGAGATGCAGCACCTACACCAGCCCTCCCGTTACCCTCCAGTGCTAATGAATTTCACATGCTGTTGTAACAGATGGGGTCCCTACATCTGGCCATCACTCCTCATGTCTGGCCACCTTCCGTCTCAGCCCCAAACCACCGTGCAGAGCTCAGGGAGCTGAATGCCATGATTTCACCCATGAAGGTCCCATGAAGGTGCTGCTGAGCACTAGGGAGTCTGTGCCACAATACACCTCTTAAAGAAAAACCACTATTTTCCTTCAAAGGCTTTTTGTTACTTAGTAGTAGTAGTAGTCGTTAGTTACTTTTCTTATGCCTCAGAAGGCATAAAGGCTTTTCCAACAGGTTTCTTTTTAGCTGTTAAGTTCTTTTGTAGAGATTTGTGTGTTGAACAAACTCAACCTGACTTCCTTTGTTCCAAAACTCATACTGGCGAGTAGCCACCATCCACTTTCATTCCTGTCCTGGTATGATCAGTGTTACACAAAACACTTTACTGAGAGAATAAAATGAAAGCTGAAGGGATTGGAAAGATTTTGACTGTACCAGTGGGTAATGGGAGAAAATGACAGGTAGGTGGTAGCAGAGGTGAAAAATCTCTTCAGAGGACAAAGAAGGGACAAAACAGGAGACCTAAATCCAAGTGAGGGCAAGAAAGGAAGGCGAGAGCCAGATTATGGAATATTCTGAAAAGAGGACAACTGGTCTGAACTAAACTTGGAGATGGAGATGATCGAGGAGCCCGTGACCACGGTGAAAGGTGCCTCTTCAGTAACACACCAGGACGGATCAGAGGATCTGCCTGCAAGATGCCTCCACTTTCTATTACAGGCAGAGTTAGAGGACTAACTATGGTCTTGGGGAAGAGGAAAGGAAACTATTCTGGAGGAACTATCTTCGGTGTAGCTCCTCTGTAAAGCTCTTTGGATTAAAAACCTCCTATAGGCGTTCTTAACTATCTCGTAATGCAAGATTGCTGCTGCCATTCTGAAAAGCCCAGGCAAAAAAAAAAAATAAATAAGCAGTTCCATTTTAGGTCAAAAATGTGACCTGGCATAGCTACTGGTGGCCTGATTTCATACCCAGCAAGGTTTTACTAACATCACCCTGTGGTCTGAAGGAGGTATGGAGAAGCCTGCCCAACTTGGGGAGCCCCCACAAAGCAGTGCTGTCCCCAGCTCAGCCCCCGGCAGGACACTTCTGGGTGATGTGATACCAGCCACACACGGCTTTGTTCACAAGGGAGATTTTTCTGCCTCTCAGCCTGATCAGGTCTTATTCACAGCATATCAGAAATAAGGGAATTTCCACCTTGTTACAGCTTTCCTGAGTAACATCTTCAAAAAAACAAGCATGAAAAGTAGACAACTATTTCCAGAGAAATCAGCTTTTTTCAGAAAGCGACATCTTTCCACAAAAACAACCCAATGCAAGTCTAAGAGGTTCTTCCCACGGTACTAGGAAGTAAAAAACATTCAAACATAATTTTGTCAGTTTGTAAAGGTCTTTAGGCGTTTTAAAAAAAAATATCCTCGACCCTTTTTTTCCGCTTTGATCCAACATTAATGAACTGGCTAAGAAGTGACACCTAGTTTGCTCACTAAGATTAGCCTGTTAACATCTTCTTACTAAAGCTTCCCCCATATCCTCTTGCAGAGACATGAAAGCTGCCATGAGCCGATGCATTCGGTAGCTCAGTGCAGCACATGTATCAAAAGGAGTTACAATAAAATTGGGCTGATTTCCCACAGGAGTCATCCAGTCACAAATGCATGCAAACAGATTTTGATTAGCTAGACAGATGCTCACTCCTTCCCCAAATGAATTTTACAATTAACATTTTTGTAAGCAAATTCCAATGCCGTTAAATGAGACTACAACAAGGCAGATCTCAGGAGTCCTTATTGAGGGGAGACTTCGAATGAAATGAAGAGGAATTGAAGTGAAAGGGGTTCAATACTGAATTAAAAATCAAAGGCAGATGTTATAATCTGGGTTTTAACAAAATGAGTCCACAATGCACCTGTATGAGTGAGATGCTACAGGAGACAGGGAAAAAGAGCTGCATGTACAGTAAACATTGCAGCAAAGATTTTAAAATTTAGTTATTGTCTTTTACCCTGCAGGTTTTGTGTGTACCTTTTGAGGCTGAAAACCAGAACATTAATAGTTGGCATGGGGATCTAGAGCCTAGGAAGGGTGTAAGCTTGCTAATGGACCCACACAGCCAACTACACAGTTGTGTGCGATCGCCTTCAGCGGGATTCTGCAGTGGTGGATCCATTTGTAGGATCCAATTTGGATGTTCTTTGCAGAGCCAAAGGCTGGCTTGCAAGGCACATTGAATTCACTCTTAGTTTCTGCCTCTGTAACTAATGCCAAGACTCACACACGTCTCCCCGACAAAGACACCAGCACGTTGGAACTACAGCACAAAGAGGTTCCTGGCAGGGTGTCCAAGCCCTGAGCTGAAAATGTTAAATCTCTACTTCTGTTGTTTCCTCTTCTGTGTAACTTTTTTTACAGGGTGTAAGCTTGCTAATGGACCCACACAGCCAACTACACAGTTGTGTGCGATCGCCTTCAGCGGGATTCTGCAGTGGTGGATCCATTTGTAGGATCCAATTTGGATGTTCTTTGCAGAGCCAAAGGCTGGCTTGCAAGGCACATTGAATTCACTCTTAGTTTCTGCCTCTGTAACTAATGCCAAGACTCACACACCTCTCCCTGACAAAGACACCAGCACGTTGGAACTACAGCACAAAGAGGTTCCTGGCAGGGTGTCCAAGCCCTGAGCTGAAAATGTTAAATCCCTACTTCTGTTGTTTCCTCTTCTGTGTAACTTTATTTTTTCCAAGTATTATTTGAAGGAGATTTAAATATTTTCCAATAATTTTAGTTGTAAGTTATTTTAAAAGTATTCATTATTATCATCATTTTGGTGGTAACACCGCATGTGGCACATGTTAAAACATACTACATATGCCAGGATAAGATTGAAGAGGATGATAGCTGCTATGATAAAGGCACTGAAAATTAAGAGATCTTCAATCTATTCCATGCTTGATTTTAAAGTCCTTACGCAAATAAGAGTGGTTTATTCTTTGGTTTCTGTATCTAGAATAAGTTATACAGGACAGGCTTTCCTATCTTGGAGATGGAGAGGAGAGAAAGAGAAATGAGAGTCCATTCAGCAATGCTTAGCAGGGGGATAAAATCTTTGTATAGAAGATGCTGGAGTAGTTGCAGAGCCAAAGGCTGGCTTGCAAGGCACTTTGAATTCACTCTTAGTTTCTGCCTCTGTAACTAATGCCAAGACTCACACACGTCTCCCCGACAAAGACACCAGCACGTTGGAACTACAGCACAAAGAGGTTCCTGGCAGGGTGTCCAAGCCCTGAGCTGAAAATGTTAAATCTCTACTTCTGTTGTTTCCTCTTCTGTGTAACTTTATTTTTTCCAAGTATTATTTGAAGGAGATTTAAATATTTTCCAATAATTTTAGTTGTAAGTTATTTTAAAAGTATTCATTATTATCATCATTTTGGTGGTAACACCGCATGTGGCACATGTTAAAACATACTACATATGCCAGGATGAGATTGAAGAGGATGATAGCTGCTATGATAAAGGCACTGAAAATTAAGAGATCTTCAATCTATTCCATGCTTGATTTTAAAGTCCTTACGCAAATAAGAGTGGTTTATTCTTTGGTTTCTGTATCTAGAATAAGTTATACAGGACAGGCTTTCCTATCTTGGAGATGGAGAGGAGAGAAAGAGAAATGAGAGTCCATTCAGCAATGCTTAGCAGGGGGATAAAATCTTTGTATAGAAGATGCTGGAGTATCATCCACTGACCCAAAGCAGTCCCTCAATTAATTGTCATTTACTGAGACAATGTTATGAAGCCAGAAAATCTGCTGCAGACTTCCTACAAAGTATGGGACAGGGTTTGCAATACTGGGAAAACTCCAAGGCAAAACGTCTGCTTCTTACCTTCACTAAAATCAGTTATTATTACAATTGTTGCTGTTATTTTCTGCGTGAAGAGGTCCAACATTAACAGCTATCCAGTGACCACAGAGAAGAAATGTATGTCAATATATAAAGCTATCTGAAAAATTAATCTTGCCAACAACCAAAAAAAAACCCCTCCCTGTTCTCTGATCTTATAAATGTCAGTAGAAATACCACAACTGCCTGGAGGGTACCTCTTTTCTCAGAACCAGGAAGCTTTTTGGCAATAATTAAAGAATGGTGATTCCACAAATGAAATGGCTTCACCTCTCAAATGCATCCAGTCATCATGGAATATTTCTGCCATGTGGGGTCAAACACCAGAAACTCAATAAGAAAATGAGATGACTTCTGCAGTAGTTGGAATCTTTAACGTGATAAAATACCGTACTACAGTCTGTGATTTTTTCATTGTTGCTCTTTTGCTTTCAAGTCAAACTTCCCTTGAAGTGGCAGAAATCAGTATGAATCAGATCAATACAGTATGCAGTGCTATATAAAAACCCAAAACAATGGGTGAAAGTGAAGATTATCTGAGTCACTGCACATGTATTTTGCTTATGAATGAAACGGCACATTGCAGGGGTAGAGAAAGGCAGCTGAGAATACCCAGCCACCTCAAACGCGGAACCGCACGCCTAAACTGGGTAAGTAGTTGTTTCCTTCCAATGTAAAGCCCAAGACTAAATTTGGGGTTCAGTTATAATGACAAATGTGGCACCTGGACTGGCACTTCATTTCCCAATGCATATCTGTCATTGTGCCCAATCGGATCGCTCCCCATGCAGAAGAGGTTAACAGCATGTTATGAGATGGGCTGATGAAGAAAACCAGAAATAAAACCCTAAGGAAATCACAAAAATCCTGCATTTGGGCATGAACCTGGTAGAGGTGGGGTATTGCTGCTTGGGGTTTATACTTACAACGGGTGGAGAAAAAGCAGAGAAAAACCAGATAGTTTGTGCCAGAACTATTATTAGCAACATAATTATTTCCAAACCTTCTGTGGCCTTCAAAGTGAAGGAACTCAGGGTACTTTGCAGACAATATACAAATAACACCTCCAGCCTTCAGTGAACCATCACACTGCACAAGGTGATAAGAATAAGGGAGTTTTGGGCTCAATTGTGAGTAAACCTTCGCTACCTTACAAAAAAATCTTCCAAGGCTCACAAAGAACACTCAAACCACAGTTTCTCATCTATTCCTACAAAAAACCCAACCATTTTTGAAATCCTCTCCAGCCACACTCATGTTACTATAAATGCTGCTAACTCTTCAGGAGCACTTGTCTTTCTAAAATGACTGTATGCTCTTGGTGTAAGGCTAGGATCTTTCCGCGCAGTAAGGAGAAGGAGGGAGTCCTTTACTTACCTGGTAAAGCTTGCATTTTTCCATGTACCGTGGAGTCTAGGAGCTTGCCTGGCTGAGACAACCACCAGAGTTCTTACAAGGGAAGCCAAAATAGTCCAGTTCAAAAGCAGGTCTGATTTCCTGAAGCAAGCAAAAGCCCTTCCCTTCTGAGATCCAGTGTCAAGAGTGACCGGGATGAGGATGGGACTCCAGGCGCAGCTAGCCAAGGTGAGTTCCTGTTTTATGGAGGCTAATGAGCAGGGAGGAGCTTCTCGCCAGGGCTGTCCCCTTGCAATCCTTTGATGTCCAACGGGACAAAGAGAGGAAGGATCTGCAGCAATGGCTGGGGCTAAGGGAAGAAAATCAAAGAGAATTAACATGGCTTTGACATACAGGAAACCCTACAGGGGAAATGCACCTTGATTTACTGCTAACACACTTTTAAACAAATAGAAGAACCTACCTACAAAATAGCTAACACACTTTTAAACAAATAGAAGAACCAAAAACATCAGTTGAAGACCTACCTACAAAATAAAAAAAAAATCCCTTAGACAGCAAGTGGGAAAAATTTCCTTCTGCTTATTCCATGGATTTGATATAATTTTCATCTCCAGAGTCCAGAATTATTTTACTCTTGATTTCTGATATCAGAATCAGGACTGTATTGAGCTTGTTCCTTCCCAAGTGGGTGAATAGGCTGCGGTAAAGTTTGTCCTCACAACTGGGATGCTGCAGAAAGCATCCATTCACCAACAGATGTCTCGTCCACTAACAGAAATGCATTTGGTGACACAAGATTACTTACCTACCCAACCTCTGCATTCACAGAGATTCTTTAACCGCACATTTAAATTTCCTACTGCTCTGTTTTTCTATGGCAGGATCCTCAACACTGCATCACATCTGCTCTGAAGCTCAGAACCAAGGCTGCTCTACATTCAGTATCCTTTCAGCTGGGCTTTATGAGTGAAAGTTGTAATTACTTAATGACACAGCCATGCTAACATCGCATTTTACTGGCCCCAAACCCCTTTGGCTGGCTAGTGCAAGTGATGGAAGTGTCTCATAGTGGATCAGGCACTGGTTTTAGGCCTTGTTGAAGGCACTGCTCTCACTGAAGGGAAGGCTGAGCAGAAACTGAAGGACTTGAGCATTTTCCCTTAATTAGTTTATTCTGCAAGTGTGACCATTAGCTTTTGTACTTACAAGTGCTAAGAGACAGCAATCAGGTCTCATGCTTCAGGGCACAAAACAGCCGCTGCACCTTGGTGAAGAAGGGACTTCTAGGCATTGGTGTACAGAAATGGCTATACTAACATTTAAAGGTCAAAGATGTTCAAAAAGAAGAGCTCAAAAGCAGCATATCAGTCTTAATGGGCCAGTGCTGGATCCTGCACAGCAAATTTAGGAGCTCTGTTCATTTCAAAGAGCATTGTGATAAGGCTGCAGTTGATTCATGGTCTAGTTTTGCTCCCAGTGAAATAATTTTTTTAAATTATTTTGTCAGTGATGTTATTGGGACATCCGATTTTTAGTCTGACGAGCAAAACATTTTCTGACTTTATTTAGTCAGTCTTTATAACTGAACAACATCCCTTTAGTCTGGCTTTTACTGCCTCTTGGAAGAGACAAAGCAAGGACATGCAAAGAGGACAAAGGAGTTTAATCAGAGGAGGGACTGTCTCTTTTTCAGCAGTATATTTAATTTTAGGCATCCCAGTACTAGGCAGGGAGAGAAAACCCAATGCTTAGTATAGCAAGGAAGGACATTTAAAAGAAAAGAGTTGGAGAGTTTGAGAAGTCCTGAGGATGATTTTATAGCAGGAGATGGTCCGCTGGCTCCTGGTACATTGGAAGGACCACATCCAGTCTTATTGACATCCCTTTAAAACTACCAGATCACACAGAAGACCACCGGCTCTTCTCCTTCAGCTAACTTGGGGACACCCAGAGCTGGGGAGTCTCAGTACCACTGAAGAGAAGACTGTCATGTGGTGGAGGAACATCAACATGTCGCCCAACTGGAGATTATTTATTACATACTTGCAAAAATAAATTGGAAGGGAAAAGATCAGCTGAAAATGGTATCAAGGTCAAATCTCCTCTGCTTGTACTTGCACAGCCACTACCACACCCAAATAAAACAGGATTGAATTGCTCTTCTGCTGCTACAAAAGGAAAGCCAGCATCAAATCTGCCCCTCCATATCGCATTTTTCTAATGCTAGTATTTTAATTGTAGAAAGTGGAAGAGACAACCATAATCAGAATCCGAAAAGGAAAAATAGAACAAAAATTGGGTCATATTCAAGCTAGCAGCAAGATGGATCAACATCCCACACAGTACCAAACTGCACAACAGCAGCAGCAGCACTGGGAATTTCAGACTCTTCACCTGACAAGAGCGTGGGATGTGTATCATGACTTACTGCTTCCTCCCTGAAAGGGGATGAGATGGTCTCCTGCTGCCACTTCATTTGCACACTGTGTATCAGCCCGTCTAGAGCACAGCACATTTGCTGCAAGTACTCAAATCCTTTTGGCGTTCCCCAGCTGATTGATGGGGAAGGTGGGGTCATTAATTACCCATGACTAGTTAACAACTAGCTTTCTCCCAGCCATTCTAGTTGCACAGGAAAGGTTTTTAAAGGAAAAAAAAAAGAAAAAGAAAAGTGAATTTGTTACTATTGCTGGAAAGCGTGGCTAACAGGAGCAATCCCCAGGAAATTCATTACTAGCAAAGGGGGAATTTAGCACATTACCCTCGTCTGTCTGTCCACGGAGTGCCCTCAGGCAGTTTGCTGGGAAGCCAGAAGTGAATGTGCTGGTGTCTAACAATTCACTGGCAAATTGGAGGCTGGTGGGGCGGAAAGGGATGGGAGAGAGATAGTGGATCTGACATGTGTAAGTCAGTGACATACACAGCTCTGCTCCAAACTCATTCCCAGCAGCAGGTAAAAATCCCACTGTGCCCAGCTCTAACAGTAGGCTCTCCCCTATGCCAGGTAGGCCAAGGCAGGAGGGAGGGGATGTTCGATGACAAAAGCAGAGACCAAGAGCTTTTGCTTTGCATCTCTTTGAGGAGGTGATTAGAAAGAAACATTCCCCTCTGGGTTTTGTGGTCAGGCAAATGTTTTCTGGCACTTCTTCCCCTTGTGAAGCTTTAACCCTTAACACTCAGCAGGACCCTGTAGGGAACTGCTCTGCACACATAGCAATCCCCATTCCTACCTTCTGAACTGGGAGCTCTCCCCGGGTGGGGTGATCATCTTGCCATCTCTGGCTGGCAACTGGGGCTCTCAGCTGCAGGAGAACAGTTACGTGTGTCAGCTGACAGGAGGTTTTGGCTCGCAAGATCCGAGTCTGCAAGTGGCTGTGCAGGATCACAGAAACATAGTCATTTTAGTTGGAAGAGACCTTTAAGATCATTGAGTCCAACCATTATCTAGCATCGCCAAGTTACCACTAAACCATGTCCCTCAGCACTTCCTAATATCCAGTTTAGATGGAGTCTTTTAAATACCTCCAGGGATAGCGACTCAACCACTTCCCTGGGCAGCCTGTTCCAATCCTGGATAACCCTCCCAGTGAAGAAATTTTTCCTAATATCCAATCTAAACCTCTCCTGCTCTGTCCAGTCAGAACTTCCAGGACAGCATTCTGCCCTGAGAGCAAGCTCAAGTGTGAGGGATGAGGTTACTGTCTGGGAAACTGCTGAAATGCAACAGAAATCCAGATTAGTAACAATGACCTTTTGAAAGAGCCGGTCTTGGAGCAGCACCCCAGGGCTTTAGCCAGTGATCCTACCCCCGCAGGCTGCCCTCTGTGCACAGGGTTGTGAGAATGCATTATATCAGCTTTAATAATTCGGGCCTAAGTGAAACAGTGTTGTCCTTCTGAGTTTGCACAAGTGAGAAAAAAATGACATGGAGAACTGTAAACGGTATTTAATAAATACTCTCCTCTGAAACACGAAGACAGCCTTACTGCCATTTAAATGTGACACATTTAGAGATTCCCACCTGGCACATGAAGGCCACAGTCCCGGAGCATCTTGGCAACTCTTTATGAGGGATACTCTGCCATCTGCACAGGATGAATACTGAAAACATGGAAGGACAGTGTGTCATTAACAGGATCCAATACAAAATAAACAGATAGCCCTACATTGATAGCTACTTATTTTCATACTTAATTAAAAACAGAATTGACCTCAGATTCTCCACACAGCTTCAGAATACACGAATCTGCCCCTTAAATACAGGCTCAGCTTGTTATGAAGCAAATGGGGCCTGATTATGCACATAGGGCCATGGGGAAAAGTGTTTTTCCAGAGAAAAAGCCTGATGAAACTATTGCTCCTACAGCTGTGCCAGCCTCAAGGCATGTGACTCCTTCTCCTTGGTAGTGACCGCTGTCTCATACAGAAAAAAAAAGAAATACAAGTGCAATTCCTTGGGCAGCACTGAGCTGCCTGAGTCGTGACTGAGCAGGGTCAGTCATGACAGAGCAGCTGAACTCGAGCAGCTCAGGCACTGCCTGAATTTGGGCAGTTTTGTGAGCAAGTCTCTGCAGGAGGCTACAGAGATGGTAAAAGCTTCCAAAATGTTTTGAGATACTCTGAGAAGTACTACATGAAATTCCCTATCATGTGGCAGCATAAGGAATGGTTCTTTCCCAGCTCCTTACAGCAGCTCACATAACACAGCATTTTCTTATGATGGTGGGAAATGCCTTTCCATACCCTCCTTTTTTCAGCTGGGTTTGATTGCTTTCCTGGGAAAAGCTGGCTGGTGTCTTCAGGCATGTTACATGTATGTGCATTGCCATGCAGGCATTCCTACCCTGGGTCCCCTACAAGGGGCCCTGTAAAAAGGCAGACCTCCGGAGGGCTGAAAGCCCCATGCTGAGCCCCACATTGCATCACCCCCAAATCTTCCCTGTGTTCTCAGAAAGAAAAAATAAAAATAAATCACATTTGGCAAAAGAAAACAGTAGGTTGGAGAGGGCCTGTTGGTAACAGCTCAACGCTAATTCCCAACAGGATCCCTGGGCTAAGGTGCAGTGTGCTGCGGGGAGCGGCCACATGCCTGCACCCTACAGGAGGCTGTATCTGTTTTGGAAGGGAACGTGTGAAAGTGGCTCATGTAAATGAAAAGTTGTACATTCTAAGTTTAATACAAGGGTTTTCCTCTTGCAGGTTTGTGGATTGAGGTATCTGGCCACAAAGCTGTGCTCCTGAACTAAAGAAGAGAGGATGCTCTCCTGTCTCCCATTTATCATATCCGCCCTCCCCAGCCCTCCTGGAATATGCACCCTTCTCCCAGCAGTTAGTTAGCATTGAGACAAGAAGGGAAATACTTAGCGGCCACTTAACACCGAAGGCTGAGTTTGGCCTCAAAGGCTACAGTCCAGAGTCAAATGCAAAATATTTCTGTCTAGAGCCCTTTCAAGTTTTCACAGACTCCTGATGTTAGGTGCACTGTTTTCCTGTCAACCCATTGTGATTCCCAGACACAGCTCAGCGCTCTGTCCCACTCAAATCCACAAAAAATACAGACTGAAAGGACTTTACAGCAGCAACAACAGCTTTGCAGCACAGTGCCGGGACCGGCCACCAGGCACCGCGCTGCAATCACTGCCTCCTCTCTCCAGCGCCGGGGAAGGCTCTTCTCCTCCCCGCACCTGGGGACAAGCATCCCTGCCCCGACCCACCGCTCTCCAGCAGCAGCCGTAAAGGATCAGCCCTAGGAAACAGGCAGCAAGGCAGCTCTGCTTAACATCCAGATACTTTTATATTTATACACATGCACGCACACTCATATGCAAAGAGAAGCATCATGCAGAGCTTAAAAATTGCTGGCAGTTTACTTAACCGTGAATTGAGCCCAGAAAAAAATCCTGAGCAGAATGGATTTTGCTGAATGGAAGCCCAGCTAAAAGTGCTTCAGCAATCTCAGTTAAAAAGCCCATTTTTTCAAGAAAAAGCAGCATCCCAAACCCTGAAGCTTGTATCGAAACTTTTTGGACTTGCAGACACGCTGTCATACTACTTTGGTTTCTGCAAAAGATCTTTTTCGTTGGCACACAAGCATTTGTGAAGCCACGAAACCAACAGATCAAAAGCCAGGCTTCAATCACGCAAGTCGGTTTGCAAGTCACTTTGTTTTGCCAACACAGATTTATTCTATCAGTTTCATAAAGAAATTTCCATATACTGTTCATTACAGTGAAGTTCGAATCAAAACAGGAAATCAATAAACAGCACAATTCCCGATCAAAGGAACTATCTTCAAAGAGCAAATGAAAATTGTTAAGATTTAAAGGTTTTGGAATTTAAAAATAAAATCTGTTGTGAGCTCTGCAGAGCTGAGTAGAGCTCTGATCCTCCAACATCACTATTGACTCTAAAGAACTTTTTGAGGAAGATAATTAAGAATACCAGAAAGCATGAGAGAACAGATAAATTAAATTATATGTAGCAGAATTGAATTCAGATCACTCTACAATAACTCATGCTTCATTTTACTAAGATTTTATTACTGCATTTTTTTTCCCCGTTTACATTACAATTTATCATTTCTCTAAAAAAGAACTATGAAAGTTATATAGCCATAGGTACATACAACTGTGCACAGGAAGAAGGGACTTGAACCCACAGGATCTCTAACTAACCTGTAGAGCCTGAGCTGAGCTATTTATAGGATCTCCCATAAAACCAAAATGAATGCCAGGAGACTTCATGCAGTACATCCTGCAAGACAGTTTCTGAAAGCTGATATAGAGCATTATGATGGGACATATATAATCTGCAGGAAACAAAGAGCTGGAAATACGTATTCATTTCAAGCAGAAAGTCCTTGGATAAACTCTGAGGAATACTTTTTCTCACCCAACGCATTCATCACCTGGCAGCAAAATGATACTGGTGTCCACAGTAACAATATTCAGGTAAGAATCCTTCAACATCACCGATAATAGAAAAAAGCACCTGTCAGATTTCATGGATTCCTCAAGTCTGCAGTGGGATGAAGCTGTCATGAACATACATGAATGGAAATAACCACAGCTACCACTTTTCCCTGCAATCCCTAATCTGTCTAGATTTTTTCCTCCATTCTTCTCATTTTGGCAAATTCCTCATACTCATTCTTTGTCGCAGTCATGGGCCAGGGGTACAAACTCCAGGCAGGATCACAGCCCCACGGCTCCCTCCCCCTACCCAGCAGATTGTGAAATGTTTATGACCTGGCTCTTATGGCTCTAGAGGTGCTGAATGGCCTTTTCCCCCCTCCGAGTCTCAGCTCCTGATGGGCAGCTACAGACCAACTTTTAGCCGGTTTGGTCCGTAGTTGTGGATTTTATTGCCCAGTTTGTCTCTTCAGCTCACATTTGTAAGCTCCAGAGTAGATTTTTCCCTGGGTAACACTCTGCAGCTCAAAGAACAATTCTTGTTTTTATTACATCCTTAATGATTAAAGGGATATTTAAACCTCACAATGCTCCCTGCTGTGAATATAAAAGCCTAGCATCATTTTGGATAGATGTGTTTAGAAAAATAAATTAAAAATTAGCCCTACTATAGTGGACAAATGCTTTTAAGTTGTTGAGAACATCAGGCACTTGAATGATTTAAGTGCGTTGGTTGCAATTCCTTGAGAAACCCAAGGGGCGACCCATGGCTTTGAGCTCTCCGAACAGTTTTACAGACAAGTTCCACTTGGACTGAGGAAACAGAGGTGTGCAACGATGGCATTATACTGAAAATACTGGATTTCAGCTGCTTAGTCATAAATGACTTAGATTTCTTCTCCCCTCTAACCTAGCAATCACTAACGCACACATAATAGGTACCAGTCTTAAAAGCACAATACTTGCTTTTGTGATGGCAAAACTTTTTAAGTGACTGACAGCTTACAACCCAAGCCATGCCTGCCAACCAAATGTAGACACAAACAACAGTATAACGTAAATTAAACAGACATATTTAAATTCTGCTAAGAAGAGTGCAGAGGAGCATGCAGAAGTCACATGTGAGAGCAAGCATTCCTTCTGAGCACAGGTTAGATGCTTATCAAGAATGAGTTCACTGGTTTTGCCTCCCCCTAATACTGCAGTTACTGATTTAAGCTTCTGCAGGGAGCTACTGACGGTCAGATTCAGTGAGAGTTCAGTCTGCCTGCAGTGGAGGTTTGGACTCACCACCAAGGAGCTCACAGCACTTTGCTGGCTTGGTGCTGTTCAGTTTCTTCCTCTTAATACTAAGTGAAAACCCAAACCAGGCAGATTATGACAGGGTGCAAGGAATACTCACACGTGTGCATTGCTACATGTACCCTGTGGCCCATCCTGGGCCTTGACTGATGCTTTTCTCATAACTGAGGCATTTAAAAAGCTTTCCTGTTTGAATTCTCTACTGTCTACGATTATGGTAACCCATATTGCAGCTATTCCCTCAGAAAGAGCATTTTCAGGAAACCTATAGGACCTAACACATTTGTGTGACTTCTACACTTCTGCCAAGTTGGGCTGAAACCAGGAGACTGGGTTAAAAAAATTATTGGGAGGGAAAGACAGGCAGCAAGATCAAGCAAGTCTTTAGACACGTTTCACATATATTTGTTAGAGACAGGACAATTCAGCATTTATTTTCTGCCTCTCCATGATGTTCCTGCACACAAATCCTGGGTGATCAAAAGCTAACCTGATGCAACCTCAGAAGAAGAAATGTTGAGAATATTGCTGCACTCTGGGGAATATCTCTCCGCAACAGTTTGAGGTTTCAAAGGCTTCTACTGGATAAAGCTGTGGCAAAATTCCATTGCAGAATTCTAGGGGGGTTTATTATGTCCAAAGTACAAAAAATGATCAATTATACTAATTGTATATACACTCTAACTTAAACTAATTAATTTAAAATGTATGTACTCTAACTTAAAAGCATTAGAGTCTGAGTTCTGCCCATCTCTCTCTCCCTGCTCATGCACATTTTGCATTGAGAGACATTCCTTTGTGGCATGCAAAGTGAAAGATTGATGGAGTGAGAAAAAGAGATTAAGAAGGTCACCCTGGAATTGTGATAGGCTGCCACAGCCATAAGAATCACTTCTAGGAATGAAAACGCAGCTACCACGTTCCAGGGTAAGGTGCAGGCATCCATACTGGTCAGCACCACACAGAACCTGGGCTGGTGTTTGTGCACCAAGTGCAAAATGAACTGGAGCCAGAGATAAGATAAGCAATCAGGAGGACTGGACAATGGTATCAAACCCGTTTGCATCCCTGCAGTCAGCTACGGTTTTGCAGAAATTGCTAGTATTCTACTTCATTTTCATATAACTACTTACTGTCTAGAAAGAGCCAACCAGATCTAAAGAGTGCTTGTGCTCTACAGGACAGAGTAGAGAAGTTATGACAGCAGTTTGGGAGGACTGGATTAGATTATCAGAAACCTGAGGCAAAAATTTGAAATCTAAGCCCATTTGTGGTCCCCCATTATGTCTTTTTGACCTCTTTGTCTTGTATTTCCTCTCAAGGATGGAACAACTTCTCTTCCTTTCACATCATACAGCCAAGGAGTTATTCAAGGGAGGAACTGCTAACTTCTGCAGTTCCTTGTCTCCGCCTCCAGATTTTCCCCTAAGAGTTGTTTAGTATCACTTAAACTTTTCTTTTGAAGACGATGATGTTCAGCCATAATCCACCTATAACAAACATGGCAATATTAAGGAGGCTACAAAATAGAGATTGCTCATATGGTTTTCTGCAGTAAGTGTGATGCTCTTGTTTCCAACCAAATATAACCATAGGATGCATCTATGAAAACAGCATATCAGTGAGCAGGGAAGTGGCAGGGCTTCTTTCACTCTGCTGTAAAACAAACTGGTAAAGAGTGCTCCAGAGCTGAAACACTGATCATCCAGAAGGGAGTCAAAGTGCAAATCAAGTGAAATGCAAAAAAGAAAGAATCTTTTGCGCTCAAGTTTGAACCTCAACAACCACCCTAAGCAAAGGTTAGGCCTGCCTTTTGTTCAGAATCTTGACAATGAAGACCTAGTGTCAATTAACAGGAAACAAGCTACGGTAATCATGCTGAATTTTCCTCATAAGATTTTTTGCTAGATGTTTATGTCTCACAGTATATATATACACAGTTACTTTACTACAGTCTGAGGTGATAAAATCATGAGATATTAGGTGACTCAGATGACAGACCACTCTCTCCTACCTGACGTTGTCACTGGCGTTATTTGCTGCTGGCCAAAGCTGCAGCTATTGCAAGGCTGGAGCCCCTTTTGGCACTGGTACTGTGAGCCATCTGCAGACAGGTTTCCTGAAGAACCCTAGAGAATAAATGCAGAAGGGCTCCATAACTCCTGTTCTTCAGAAAAGTGGTCCCTTACTTCAAAAAGTGGGTTGGTAGGGAAAAAAGGTATGGAGAAGTGAGGACAGAAAGAAAGAAAGAAGGGAAAAAACACAAGGTAAGACACAGTGAAGAAAAAAGAAATAATCTAATGAGTTTGCATATGTCTGCCATTGTTATCCTCTTGCTGGGCTCAGGGGTCCTGCCATCAGCTTTTGTACCCAGCTGAGGATTTACAAAAATAAAATCCTATATTTTCATACATCATAATTCACAAAAGACCAGCTATTGACTCCCAAGGGAGTCATGACTGAAATCTAAATATTGCTGAGCCTGGTAGAGCACTCCTCTTGAAATCTAAATATTGCTGAGCCTGGTAGAGTACTCCTCCCTACTCCTAGGCCTAGGCCAGAGTGATGGGAAAAGTGTCAAGTTATTGAGCCACTGGGTTTCATTTCCCAAGAAGTGCCTTTGGGTGACAGTGGAGATACACTAAAGCCATCAGCCATTGTGTTAGGGCTGACAAAAGATTGATCCATGAATGAAAGAAGCATTTTTTCTGCAATTCTGAAGCACAAAGTTTACTAGCTGTTCTCCTCTCTGCTTTCAGAGACTTTCAAACAGCCCTCAAGGGAGAAAAAGGACATCAGTTTACACAAACCATGTCCACTTAGTTTATTTAACTCATACAGAGTGCCCACGATTCACCAAGTCATTCTCCATGTCCTGACAATCTCCTGCCATGGGCAGCTCCTCCCTCCTTCCATCACAACTTTCTTTTCTATCCTTTGTTACCCAAAAGGAAAACAGAACATTCCCCCTGCTGAAAAGTCCTCTCCTTCGAGGAATTCAACCCCGGGATGCTCTTGTAACAAACAACAAAGATGGACAAAACCTGCGCCTCTTCTGTTTCAGCCCTAACATCCATGAAAGCACCAGATTCAGCTTTGCAAAGTGAAGTCCTTTTTTCAAGAACTGATTTAGCTCTTGTAGAGGCAGTGGGTATGTCTCAGGGACTCTGGAGAAGGATATGTCTGTCTTTGTCTGACCAGGCAAACCTTAAGATTGACTTCCCACCTTTTGATACCTGAGTTATGGTCTCTGATTAGTAGAAATACAGCAAACCTATTGACTCATTGTTTAAAGGTGACTGCAGAGAAGTAAAACAAAGGATATTTAGGAAGGGAACTTGTTAGGTTCTGGCTTAGCACTTACTGCCTGAATTTTTTCTTGCCTGAAGTCAAATTAAAATATACTTGCAGAAATACACATTTTTTTCCATATGCAACCAGGACCAGGAAACTCATAATAAAGGAAGTCATTACTGTTACTTGCATGTCCTAACTGACTGGCTCTGGCTCCTGTAGTGCAGCCATTGTCAATGATCTTGTGATACAAGGAATTACAAACACTTTCTGTGCAACATCCACGTTAGTTATTTCTCTCTTGCATTAGGTGAGCCAGTGACAATGAGCCTACAGTGGCATAATCACAGTTAAAAAGTTTTTTGACTAGCCTGGCCTCATGAGTTGTTTGCCATCCTTAGAGTTAAAACTGAAACTTACATCTTACATTCTACTCAGAAACATAGCAAAGGTCTTTAAGTCTCAGTCTATTTCTGTTTGCAGAGATGAAAGTTATGCTAATGGCTGAAGCCAGTGTGGGAGAATTATTTCTTGAGCAACCCCTTCCAAGCTGAAGAACCCTGGGTTTTCTGAAGGCAGTTCTGCCCCAGGTTTTTCAGAAAGTCTTCTTCAGAAATGGAATTAGACCCATAAGAGAACTATCATTTAAATGTATTTGCCAATAAGAGGTCATCTTAAATAAACCTCAATGTACTTGCACTCTTAGTCCATGTTTAGCCAAACAATGTAATAGATTTTCTTCAGCAAATAAAGCAGAATTCAGCAAAAATAAAACAAGCAAAATCAACCTTTTCTTTTTTTTTTTTTTGTTGTTGTTTTAACATCATCCTCCACTAGGCAAAATACTAAATCTACAACAGTATTTCAGCAGCAAAAAAATATTTTCAAAACAACAGTATCACAGCAGTAATGTCTGCTGCTTTGGAAATGTGTTACCTTGATGTTTATATAGCCACAGGAGACCATTCAACAATGGCAATGTGTTAATTCCATTGACATTATCGCTCAAATTCAGTCACAGGGGTTGGCGAATTCTTTTTTTACATGGCTCTTTCATCTAAAAGAGAATAAGGCAGGACATAATGGATGGTTAGTAACATATTGTTAAATGGTTACAAGACACAGGAAATTTCAAGTGGCGAATGGGAGAACCTGAAAAATCCAAGTCAGTCTTGATTAGAAAAAAGACTTCGTTTTGCTGCACTGAATTATCCCAATTTCTCAGCAATCAGAGCTAAGGACTCTCAAAAAAACTGAGCATGTTCTACATTTATATGAGTGGACACTTGCTAGTCTTCTCCACAGTTCTGCTCTTGGGAAGCTCTGTGTTATTCACCGTGACAAAAACTCAGGTGACTTTCTATTGCTTTTATTTAACTCAGCTATAGGAGCAGTTCCTACTGGATATTAATATTCATTCACTCAAAATTAAAAAAAAAAAAAAAGAAGCCATAGTTTTAACTAAAATTAGTTTATAATTTTATCTTGTAACAATTTAAGATATATAAAAATGTCCTAGCTTCAAATTCAGGGGCAATTTGGGAAAAGGGTTTTTTTGACAAGTAATTTCCATTTTATGGCAATAGAAAATGGATTAATCAAAAAACTCACCAGCTAGTGGGAAAAGCTCTGATGCACAATTCAGTTCTTTTGACTCTTGTGATTTAACCAATAAATCAATGGTGTTATTATGAAATAGGTGCAGAAAGTGAATATTGATAAAGCCCAGACAGAGAACACACCAAGAATGAGCCAGCTGCTACTCCATCACATTCAGTAAATATCACCAGCTCTGCTGCTGCTGTTCTGAAAGCCACCAGGCTTTCCTCACTGGAACAATATCAATCACTGAGGATGGGAGAGAAAGTTGTTAAAGAAAATAATATTCCTAATAAACACCCTGTCCCAGGGACTACACCAGGACAGGTATCACTAAACGGAACTTCATTTTATGATCTCCCTTCCTGGAACTTATGTAGATAATGCCAATTGCCCTCCAAAGTTCACCTATATGCCATAGCCATCATAATTTCAGGGAGAATTAATGGGGGAATTTTGACTTCCTTAGTACTGCTCTCAAATGAATGTACCACAATTTTAAAAACTATAGTTTGTTCCTGCTTACTCTGATTGATCTGTGATCAAAATGTCACATTATATTGCCATTTTATTTGCACACCCTGCCATACCCAAGCCTATTCTTTACAGTCACCCAGTTTCCCACAAATTTCATTTGGGCTGAAATTTTTACTAGCAGAGGTACTTCCACTTTTCTTTAGCCTTTTACATTTTTCAGTGGTTACCTGTGAATTTCTGAATTTACAAGTACTAAGAAAGTTAAGCTATTTATTTTGAAGCATCCGTTTTCAATGGAAATTTTAGTTGTAGAAATACCTTAGGTCACTAAAGAAAATGTATACAATGTGAGCCTACGGTAAAATATAAGCTGATGATGCCCTTTTTCATCTTCATTGAAATCAGCAGTAGTCATTCATACTTAAGTACCTTGTTGAATCAGGCTCATATTTTAGAGGAAACACTGTCTTCCTCCTCTGTCCCTCTTCCCCAGCAGACTCTGCACTTGGAAATAACGTTTCCATAATTTAATGTTCTTTACAGCTACTTTTCCGTTAGTACTTTTCCTAGAACTAGTAACAGGACAGTTGCTGCACTGTGCTGTCTTTGTAGCTGAGCTGTCACTACTGTAACGTGACCATACACAAAACTGTGCATTATAATGATAATGTAAGTCTTTCTGAGTTTCACCAAAATTGCAAGAAGTTCACCTTATTAAAAAACCCAGTGCAGCACAAGCGCATATAAGCACATACTATTTACTCTCTCTTACATTTTAATTCAATTATCAATTGCCTAAAAGCAAACTCATTAATTGAGACGGTAACATCTCCAGGGCAGTCATCTGAATTATGTGCAGTTGTTGAAGGACCCTGTGTCTGCCCCAAAACAGCTGCCAGTACCCGTTGGAGGAGCTCAGCCTGGGAGCTCCTGGTTCTGCAGAGGGAGGGAGGGTGGCAGCCCCAGGCCAGCACCTGCCACCCCAGCCCCACAGGGACCCACTTGTAGCTGAGGGGGAGGCAGTGGGAGACACAGAGGGATTAAAATGACTCTGAGGCTGCAGGCTTTCCAGCCATCCTGCACTGCTTTCTCATTTTTTTTTTTACATTGAGAAAACCCACTATATTAACAACTTCCAAATAAAAGTACAGGCCTGACAAAACTTGCCACTGTAGGAGAATCTTCGCCCAGTTCATCTGGAAGATTGATTTTAGAGACAATGAGGAGCATCACGGTGCATCCAAGAGTGTACCAATAAATGCAGTCAGCTTGTTTGGTTCCTATAGAAAGAGCCAAGTCTCTGTCTTCTCACGATTAAAATGTGAGCAGCACTGTCCAGATGCCATTGGCAAGTTCTAACTGCACTGGCAAAAATTAAAGACTTCTTTACACTAGGAAAGCAAGGGGATCAATGGACCCAAGTTACCAAGAAACTCCTGCACTACTTTTTGCAGCAATACTTTACAATATGCAATCCCAAGCTGTTATTATGTTCATAAAAGCCAAACTGAAAAAACATCTTGTACCGCTGCTGCTTGCTGGGAGACAACACGTCAGACCCTTTGTTTTGCTCCCAGGAAAGCCCATTTACTTATTAAGTATAGGAAGAACTTCCAGCAGTGCTGTCTATTGGGAAAGTCATAGCAGCACTGTTATTTATTTGAACTTACATTGATTACTTGAGGGCATAGCGTTGCAAATTGATGTTGTAAGCTCAGTAACTTCCACTATGAATTTCTAAACCTTAATTTTTTTTTCTAGCCCACTCTAACTTAATGGAAATCTAATATACAGTCTAGACGTTCCTAGGTGACAAATTTCTGTACTCAAACTACTGCTTTCTGACATTCATGTAGCATGGTGGTTTTATATGTTGACTCAATTAACAAGTTAAGCTATTCTTTGAGAATACATCTAGTGCCATCTCTTAATGGGGAAGAGAAAATGATCATTGCAATCTTATTGAAGGAGTTACATTTTATATATACTCACACATTTGGAAGAAAAAAATGTGACTCCATACATTTTAGTGTGTAACTTAAGGAAACTGAATCCCTGGTGTGATTTACATTACAAGGAATCAAAGAATATTTCTAAAGTATGAAGCTTTTTGGCTCATACAACATCCTTTACTAATTACTACTGAACAGTATGTGTTCAATGCTGTATTAGATAATGTTCATGCAATGCATATTTGCAAATAAAACTCAGTTGCATATTACTTCTTGTGAACAGCCCTTTGTATCTGTCAAAAACCTCAGAGAAGTAAAAAGAATTTGAATATGTAGACAGGTTCTTCAGCTAATTGTAGTCACATGTAACAATTAAGCATTCACATAGATGTCTAAAATGCCTTTGGCCTGCTCCATGGCTTTTCACTTGTAGTTAGAATAATATCACTAACTAAAATGAAATGTGGTTCTCACATGCTTATATCAATAGGAGCTTTGATCATATTCCATTTATACTGGAATTCACTGTTGTTTGCAGGGTCTCTGAAAGAGAAGGGCGAGGAAAAAATAGGCTGAGAAATAAAAATTGAGGGAGGGATATCATGTCCAACCTGAGAGCAAAACCTACTTTTTACCATAGATATTGATGCGGTTTTAGATAGGCAGTTTCCTCCAATAAGACAATGTACTTAAGAGATATTGCAAAGTGCTCCTCCCACTGGGATTATATAATGGAATGCTTTTCTACCAAGCTACATACACAATCATTAAATTGCACAGATAAATCTTAAATGACGGCAGAAGTGCCATTTTACTTTTCCCCTTGGTAGAAGTAACTTTGTTTTTCCGATTCTGTAGTAGGTTCGTGGCCTGAGCTCCATCCCACTGTCCCACATCACGTGCATTTCTGCACCACAGAACTGCATCTGACCTCCTGGCTACTTTAGACAACAGAGACTGTTACACAAGAGCTTTTCCAAGCTTGAAAGCTACGTATTTCTTCCATCATTTTCATACACATTATTGCCCCTAATTAGAATTTTACTTTAATGAAATTATCTCAAAAACACTGTACAGATCTGCAAGTTGCATGTTTGCCACCTACTCTTGGGCCCAGTTACAGCAGTACATCACTGCAAAATGAACTAGGACTGAATTAATCAGGATTTACACTGATGAAGATGAAAGCATTATTTGAGTCCTTTCACACATGATTAACTGTCAAAACATACTTTCTCTCCCCGACTATAATATGCTGCACATTAAGAAAATGGAAAATACCCAGTAGGCTTTTTATAGGGGAATTAAAAAAAAAAAGGAAAAATACAGTTACAGCAGTTACAGGGCAAACAGATTTTGTGTGAAAAGCATGTATACAGTGGTAGTGTTTTGCTGCTAAGTTGTAATATTAAGGGTAACAAGGTGAACTCTTTGCTTTTTGCTGTGGCCAGGAACATGGGACAGAACCCTCTGAACAGACTATGAGGATTCTCATTGCCTCTGCTTTGAATCAGACTATACATTACAAAAAGGACATATGGTACAGCAGCAGTAGGCTCTCAGAAGTAGGTGAGGTCAAAAACAGCAACGTAACTTAAGTCTTTCAGAAATTTAAAGATAGATCCCAGTCATCCATTTTAAGGTTTGGTGTGGGGTGAGAGTTGGTTTCCCCACACTTTGTTTTTTAACCCCTTTTTTCTTTTCTTCTCTGTCCTAGGGCCCCCTCTAGTGCTACCAGAGCAGACCGTGTAGCTCCCAAATGACACAGGATGAACTTTGGGCACAAGCCCATATAGAGACAGACCCACAGTCCTGAGACTGCACCCCAGCCAGATCTGCCACATGCCTTGTTCTTATTCATACATGACATTTCATTAGGGATAAGGCCATCCGTACGATCGAAAATATTTTTGAGATAATACACAAAAAAGACCCTTGACATCCATAGCTACTGTACTGTTGCATCTGAGCCTGCATTGGAGCTTCTGCAACTATTGAACTATCTATTGAACTCCTAAGGACATGGCAAATAGCTCATGTGCTTGGTATAGATGGCTTGTGGTATGGGGGGACAGGGAGGGAAATCAAACAAACATACACGTTCATATGTAGTCTCTAAAGCCCCAAGTCTTTTTTTAAGGGTCAGCTGTAGCTAAAAGACTTGCATGGAGTCTCCAGCATTAATGCAAAAGAGCCCTTCGAGCAAAGATAAGCCATCCTCCAGAAGCCAACAACTCTCAGACATTGGTCTGTTACCCTTCACAGTGCCACCCATTGCACTGAGCTCTGCAACAACAGCTCAGTCCCCCACAGAGAAGCTTTCAAAAAGGCATAACTTGGGCTCAGATGGCCTGTGATACAGTACCCCAAGGTTACTCCCCAAATCCTGACACACGCTTCAAAGCTTAGCATCAGGGGATTCCTAGTCATCAGCTAGAAAAAAGGGAAAGATGGCAATTAGCACTCAACACCTACACTGAAGTTCTTACCATCACCTTCAACTGCAAGAACAAAGCTTCTTCATCCCAACCTTACATGACTAAGAAAGAGATCATAAGGTTTATGCCTGCTGCTTTTTCTCCCGAGCACCCCATTTCATCTACTCTACCACCCTTTTCCTTAAAGAATAGGACAAGCACCTGCAGGAACAGAAGTGAGCTTTGTGCGACATGTAACACTGTACACACAAGCTATGTACACTGTATGCACAAGCTATGTACACAATGGATTTTTCAGCTTCCTTGAAATATCAACACCAGTGCCAAAACCAGAGTGTTGAATTTAACAATGCTGTGATCCCACCCTGGATGGTAAGACTTAGTCTATTCTCACCTGGCCCCTCCGTTTCCAGTCAGTCCATTCTGTCTCCTAATCAGCTCCGGCAGCCTTCCTCATCTTTTCCTGGTCCCTTTCTCCCTGACCATATGGTGTTTATTTTGACTGCAAAAGACATTAATTTCATTATTCATGAGGAAATCTCATTCTAATTTAAAAAAAAAACCAAAAAACCCAAAACTAAAATCAAAATAAGAGACAACAACTGACAAACCCTAGTACATGATAAAATTAAGGAAGATACTCAGTATCTTCCTTGATTTGATATTTTGGTTGTGGAATGAAATATTACTTTTTGTGAGACAGTGGGCAGAAGGCATTAATGACAGCTGTGCCCAACAAAATTAATCCTTAGTAAAACTCTAGTCCTTGCCTCAGAGAGATAAATTCTCGATGGTCTTAACTAGACATGGATTACATAATCCTTGTGTTAGGGAATGAAATTGTATTGAACACAGCCAAATGCCAGTACTACATACCTTAACAATGGTATCAGTGAAAAATACCTTACCACGTGTAAAAACTATGCCCAGAAAGGGTATCAACTACCCACAAATTACTCTTGACATCAAGTTCAAAATAATTTCTGTTTCCATTTGTTTTGGAACAGAAACGGTTTTGCTATTTGCCTGGAAGTCTTAACAGTCTGGATTTTCAGTAGCCAAAAAGGATTTGCTTTTTAAACAATTACTGGTGGGGGCAAGGCAGGGGAAAGTAATAAAAGCCTCCCCTGCGCCCCACTTGGGTCACAGACCTTACCTTTAAGTTTACTTTAGGTATCAGACATTCCTGTCCCCACAGCCTCACAGGGAAAAACCAAACCAAACCAAACCAAACCAAATTACGAAAGAAATATCCTTCAGTAGCTGCCATTTGTCTGTCACATTAGAAAGGCACCATGGAACACTTGACATTTCAGAAGCAACAGCTACCCAGTAAATCCTGAAAATAGATGTTGTGTTTATATTTGATACACAACTCTGAAAAGGGGGAGTTGGCAAGTTGGACCTGGACCATACTGGGATTTCAAGCTATTGCAACTAGGATTAGACCGAAATAAAAGAAATTACTTCAAGTAAACTAAAAGCTAACTGCAGTTTTGCCATAATGTTTGGGTTTTTTTTTTTGAAAATGCCACAAAATTATATTGCCAGGCTTCAGAAGATTCCACATTAAGAGAATACTTCTGTGTGTAAGGATTTGAAGATCTTGCTCAAAATACCTTTAGGGATGGTGATTCAGCCAAACGTATGTAAATGCATCCACTGGTCTTGGCGTCTTCGCTCCACTAAAAGCTAACTGCAGTTTTGCCATAATGCTTGGGTTTTTTTTGAAAATTCCACAAAATTATATTGCCAGGCTTCAGAAGATTCCACATTAAGAGAATACTTCTGTGTGTAAGGATTTGAAGATCTTGCTCAAAATACCTTTAGGGATGGTGATTCAGCCAAACGTATGTAAATGCATCCACTGGTCTTGGCGTCTTCGCTCCAGGATATGGTTCCTTGAACTGAAGAACTATATAAACTCTACTTACAGAGAGACATAGAAGAATGGCTCCTTCGATTCACACACAGAAGAATGGCTCCTTCGCCAGGATATGGTTCCTTGAACTGAAGAACTACAGAAACTGTACTTACAGAGAGATGATAGAAGAATGGCTCCTTCAATTCACACACAGAAGAATGGCTCCTTCAGCGTAAATCAGCAGTAACACCCCTTGCAGGAGATGGCCCACAGCTGAGCAATGCACTATTTAGCCATTAGCAGAAGGGCAGGAGTTGAAGGAGGTGGCCTGTGTAGTTCCTTCTCAGTAACGTCTTGAGCTTGAGAAAAAGTCCCTGAGCTACTCAACAGCACAGTGTGAATAAAAGATCATAGACTTAAAAAAAAAAAAAAAAAAAAAGGGGAAAAACAAGTAAGAGTTTTGAATATAGGATAAAACAAGATGCACATTTGTATAGTCTGAAGATTAAAATGAGTTTAGAGCAGATCAGCAAAGTTCAGGTCTCTTTGCTGACAGGAACAGTTTCACTTACTGTTCTAGCTTTTCCTTAGGCAGCAAAAAATTAAATCCTTCTTAAAAAGCAGGACTAGGAGTCAAAAAAAAAGCTCAAGATCAGGCATTTTAGCAAGCTTCGGGGGCAAAAAAAAAAGCAAATGCCTAATGCCAAGGAATCCTTAAGAATAATAAAGTAAAACATCCATTTTCAGTGACCGAAGTCAATTAAGAAAATCAAATGCTCTGTCATCAGACATCAAACACATGCTAAAAGTGCAGACCTAACAATTTAAATGTGATGTTAAAGTTAGTCTTACATTTAAGAATACACATTAGCCATAAAGACTATGTGTCTATTCTATTTGGGTGAAAAAGCTGTATTTAGACGTACATCCTCCAAGTTGTGTTCCACTTCTCATAAGAAGCTGACTTCTTTTTTTCCTTTGCCATCTTCTAAAAAAATAAAGATCATTCCTGATTATCTAAAGATACCTTAGCCTACTACCAGTCAATGACTATAGAGTATGCTATACACTGCATTTATAATAACTTATACCAAATTAAAGAGCACACATTGAAAACATATTACTACTGAAAATACCCATTTGCTTTTACCATTCAGTTACCTGATCTTTTCCACCTCACCTATCACTTTTAGTAAGTGAACAATTTACAGAAACAATTGCTAATAGAGCCAAGACAGACACACTCACTTGCTTACATATTACTTTTTGTTCAAACAAATAACATAGAATATGATAATAAACCTGCAATACAAAGTTTGATGCTGTTTCTTTTTATCTAGGGTCTATTCACTACCCTTACAGTGAATGAGAGCGATTGCTGTAATAGTGGATTAAATGCTAATTTGTACAGCCAAATATCCTAGGTGATCCCGTTCACTGTGTGTTGTCCACCCCATATGCTGTTCCTCAGCATCCAAAGATACTCAGATAGGTGAAAAAGAATTCAGATCACACCTCAATGGGGAAGCAAACCCACTGCTGGCAATCTTGACAACACTGGCTGACCCAGGTCCCAGGTCAGAAAAGGAAGAGGCTTCCCCCCACTCCCTTCCTTTGCTGCCTTCTTATCTAAGGAAGAAAAGGAAGGGGAGTACTTTTTCCAGAACTGTGGCACCTTGCCCTCTCAGACGAACAGAGACAACAGTACATTTCAACTTTATTAGAAAAAAACCAAAAGTTTATACAAAGCTCTGCATTTTACAGAAAACCACCTCCCCCAAACACAAAGAAATCCGACATTGCAAGCTGTATGAATTTTCATTTTTCATATACATACATATATATATGTACATACACATATATATGTGTGTGGGCGCACGCGTGTGTATATAGAGTGAGACGTATTTTTTTTGCATGGTTTGCATTCATTATTTTACAAAGTTAACATTTAGTAGAAAAAAAAAAAGGATCTTTGTTACCATTATTTTCTCATATAAATAACTGTGAGCAGTCCCTCTGCAGATAGATAAAAAACACCTTTTCGTGTCATTCTGTAAAAAACAGACATTACTGAAATGGTATTGAAACCTTTCAGGTTTTTCAATACCACCATAAAAATATCATCTAGCCCCCAATTCAAAATGCTTGTCCAAGGCATTAGAAGAGAAAGGACTGTAAGACAATTCTGGAAAGATCAGTTCTTTAAGCCAACATTCAGGTAGATAATTTTTGCTGGACCTCATACATTGGTGTGAAATGAGCACAAACAGGAGGCCAACCTCTCTGTCTCCCTGGAAAAGCTGGTTCTTTGCCTGTTGTCACCGAGTCAAATTCCAACAAAGCACCCAGCAGTGCTAAGGAGCTGACATGCTCTCAGCTCACCCTTCTCACCCCGCAACAAAGCCATGGACTTTCTAGATGCAATCAAAACCTCTACCAGCTCAGCAAATATTTCCTACTCCATTCACCTTAAAAGGAGCTGTTGGACTTGTGGCATGGCTAGACAGACATTAGGTTGTTGAATTACTGGGAGAAAAACTTAACTAGTGAGGAAAACGCAAAACGACAACTAAAAGGAAGAAAATGCTACAGAAAAGAGCTACTGGAGTGACTTCCAAGGCTCCGGTTTGAAGAAGCAGGAACAGTAGACAGATGTGAATTGCAGATCAAAACACCCTTGCATCTACTGAAGTTAAAGGTGATAGCGTGGTCCAAATCAATTAACTGCCTGGTAGACAATCATTCTTTCCGTCAAGCACCATGATGGGGAGAATGGCGAAGATTCTGAAGGCAATACAAGTGGTAGTGGTGATAACAAAGGTAATGGAAGTGAAGAACACAATGATGCCGATTAAATGGAGCGTAATGCCAAGATGTTTCGACTGCCATAGATGCTGGCAACAAGAAGAATGGTTATATGGTTGGTGTTGATGATGGCCAGAATTCATTCATATGTCCATGTAGTCATCATCTTCATCAGTATCACTTTCCAGTGAGGACTCCTGGCTTGAGGTCTCTAAGATTTCCAAAGCTGGCTGACAAAGGCTCTCCTTCTTTACATTCGCTGCAGACTGAGCAGACAAAATAGCAGACTGATCCCAAAAAGAGAGAGAGAGAATATATTGCTAAATAGTCAGGATAAACCCACGATCACAGGGATAAAAGCCACCTGGTTGCTATTCCTTCACATTCAATAGCTCTCTTACTTCTATAAAAGATATGGCATCCTAATGTGAAACAACATAACATTTACCAGTAGGCTTCCCCACTGTTAATATTCTGGTAGCTTCCACTAACCTAAGAATTGCAATGGCTCCAGTAGCTTCCTCACCCATTTTTGTAATTCTTTCTAAGTCCCTCAGAAAAGGGTTAAGGAGTAGGATAGCTATGATTTCACCCACGGCCAATACTTCATCGGTCCTTTACAACTGGCTCCTGCTGATAATAGCTAGCATCTTCTTCCACTACTTATTCTATCTCTGGTTATGAACTGGGGACTGGAACTGTTGCTCCTTTCATACAAGTATTTTACTAAGGGGAGAATCAAGATAAAAACAATAATCTAACAAATTACTGTTTCCCTTTTATTACCTTTAATTTTTGCTTGGTCTCTTCTGAAATGCTGCCCTTTGG